ATATATATTGATTTCAGAGAGGAAGGGAGAGGGGAGAGAGAGATAGAAACATCAATGATGAAAGAGAATCATTGATCAGCTACCTCCTGCACTCCCCCCACTGGGGATCCAGCTGGCCACCCGGGCATGTGCCCTTGACTGGAACCAAACCTGGGACCCTTCAGTCCACAGACTGACACTCTATCCTCTGAGCCAGACCAGCTAGGGCTGAGATTTTCTTTTTAAATATAAGATCTTATTGACACTGGAAGTTTTTACAGGATTAGTTAGTAGTCTCAATTTCATCATAGAGCAGAGAAATGAAAGCCACATTAGGTCAGTGGACAAGAGCATAGTATTACACAGTCATTGAGGTCTTTTGACTGAGTGCTCTGAGGGAAGAAATACATTTAATACTTTCTAAGTGTTCAAAACTTTGAAGGAATTAAAACATTCCAAAGAATAGCAAAAAGGGATCGAATTCTCATAAGTCTTGTGCTAAACAGTTCTCTAGTGTGACTGTTCTGTGTAGTCTTTTAGTTCATTTACCCTGATCACAGTTGATTATTTCTTCAGTTTCTTCCCAGATTTGGGGGTTTTATTGACTTATCTGCCCCACCATGCCATATTTCATCCATCGATGCAAGCATCTAGCCTGTCCTCTTTTCTTCCTACCCTCTCCCCAAACCTTTATGAAAGTTTTGCTAGCCACTGTAAGGAAGAAACAGAACAGGCAATACCATCAATGAGCTTCTTTGTAGTTTAGGAAATGCATCTAATCCAGACCTTTGGAGGATTTTTGATATTTTATTTCTCCTTTTTTCTCTTATTTTTATTTGTGCCATATTTTCCCCCTAAAAGTTTATGTATGCCTTTCCCTTTCCTATACCATATATGTATGTGTTTTCTTAGAATTGTCAGTGTTTTGATTGTCCAGAAATCTTTATTGGTACCTTTTAGGTGACAGGTATAATTCTGGGCACTTGAGGCTGAATGGTGAACAAGATGAAGTCACTGCCCTTGTGAAGTTTCCATTCTATCGGGGGAGGCAAAAACACGCCTGTGAGCAAACAATAAAATTATTTCTGATATGATACATTTAATGAGGTAAACAAAACAGCGATGGAAGGTGGAAGGGTGCATGTTGCTGTTTTAACTAGGGAGATTGGATTAGTCCTTTCTGTGTAGGTGACATTGAGCTGAAGCCTGAATGAAGAAAAGCCTGAGCACCTTGTGAAGATCTGAAGGAAAAGCACACCAGGCAATAAAAACAGCAAGTTCAAGGCCCTAAGTCAAAGCAAGCGTGACATGTTTGAGGGAAAGAAAAGGCTGGTTGGCTCGAGTGCGGTGAACGAACACAGGGGCTGATCACATACTTACCGTCCACTGGCAGGGGAGAAACAGATACTGGCTGCACCAGCAGTGAGTGTCTCTGTGTTTAAGAAGAGAATCCAATCCAGACCTGTGAAGGACTGCCAATATTCTGTTTCCCCTCCTGGCCTATGGTGAGGAGGCTAGGTATTACATTAGTTTGTAGGGCTGCTGTAATGAGTGACCACAAAGTGAGTGGTTTAAAACAAACAAAAGAAATAGATTATCTCATAGTTTTCAAGGCAAGAAGTCCCAAACTAAGGTGTCAGCTGGTCTGTGATCCCTGCTGAAGTCTTTAGAGAAGAATCCTTTCCTTCCTCTCTAGCTGCTGGTGGCTCTTCCAGTCCTCGGTGTTCCTGGCTCTTAACTCTATCAGCCCAGTGTCTGCCTCTGTCTTCACATGGCCTTCTATTCTGTCTATAGCTTTGTGTGCCTTTCCCTCTTCAAGAGGGCCAACAGTCATTGGCTTTAGGGCCCACCTTAATCCAGTGTGACTTCATCTTTTAAAGATCCTATTTCTAAACAAGGTCATTCTATCAGGGCTCTCAAGAGAAACAGAGCTAATAGAATGTATGGACATACACAATGATGGAGGCTGACAATCTCAAGATCTGCATTCGGCAAGCTGGAGACCCAGGAGAGCTGGTGGTTAGTTCCAGTCCAAAGGCCGAAATGCTCGAGACCCAGGAAGAGTCAGTGTTTCTTCCAGTTTGTGCCTGAAAGCAGGAAAACGCTGTTGTTACAGCTAGAGGACAGTCGGACAGAGGAATTCCCTCCTATTCTGAGGATGATTTTTGTTTGTTTGTTTTATTAAACTAAAGACCACACACATTAGGGAGGGGGCAGATGCTTTATTCAGTCTTCCTATTTAAATGCTAAGTTCATCCAAAAACATCCTCACTGTGACACCCAGAATAGTTTGACCAACTATCATGATACCCAGTAGCCTAGGTAAAATTAACCCTCACAATCAAGGGGACACTGTTCACCCTAGATGATTTACTATTTTAAAAGCCTCTGGAAGATATTAAAAGGAGTGTTGTTATCATTGTTACTTTAAAATGTTTGCTTTGGCTTTTATATGCAAAACTGCAGATAAAGAATGAAATTAAAAAACAAAAAGCCATAAAGGTTGTTGAGTATAGTTGAGAGCTGGTGACAACTTGGAGTGGGTTATAGCCGAGGGTTGGAAAATGGAAGGTGGAAGTGACCATGTTCATCATACCTGATGCTTGTTTTCAAGTTGTCGTCCTTTTTCCATTTTTACTTGAATTTTCCTAGTAGCTCATTTCCCCATTCAGATACACTATTTTGCATCTTTATCGGCTATTAGTAATTGTATCCCCAAGATTCATTTCTTAGGATTAAGATTTCAGGTTCTTTTAATTGTCATTATTTTCTAAAACACTACAGGAAATCCACAAATGAGCTTGTCTCCTGACCTTTGCAAGAAATGTACTTGGCCATGATCCTTATGCTTCTTACTCCCAAGAGAGAAAAGCATTAACATGGAGGTGGGTAGGCAGGAATGTCAGACACAACTGGTGATTTGGAACAATTTTAAATATTCTATTTAAATTAGCCCTAGGGTCAGAGCACATATCTCATCTCCGGGTGGAGCACACATCCATTTCATACTCAGGGAGCTGTAATAGTAGCCGTGGCCTCTCTGTGTAGATCTCTAATGAATGGAGCACATCTATTTCAGATGGATAATCAATTTTGAAATCCCTTGTTGTAGGTAAGCTGTTAATACAGAAATGTTAACTTCATGACTTTAATGAGTAGCTTCAAGGATAGCTTAGTGACAGAGATGGAGAGAAAGTCAGGTGGGGGGCAGTGAGAAAGAGTAGAATGAGCATTTAATGAATATCCACTTGCAGACTTGAATGTCAGCAGCAACATTCTCCCTCCTGGAAAATGTCTTTCAACTGTGCATCCTATTACAATTCCTGCAGCCCATGGTAGCTTGGAGATTGAACCAGACAGAGTGTGTTTGTAAGAAAGCTCTCCTTTGCAACATAATGAGATCGAGGTATATAATTTGCAGAGATAGCTAGAGCAGTGGTCAAATTGGCAAAAAAAACCACGAAACAGAAACAAAAACAAAACCCAAAACAAACAAAAAAACACACAGCAGAATGAAAAAACATGTTAAATAGGAGATGGCTTATAATAAGCCCAGAAATCGCATATCACACAGTCAGCTCGCTGGCGTTTTCTGATATTCTTGTCTTCTCATGCAAACTGCTAAACACTTTCTCCTACTCTATTTTCTCAGTCTCTCTATACCTCTAATTTCTACCTACTGCATTGAAAATATGAATGAATTGGCAAGTCTGCCACTTGAAGAAATATGAATGAAGTATTTGCCTAAACATGAATGCATGCTATCATTTCAGATGCTGTTGTATGCCTTTGTTGCATTTTTAAAAACATGTCCCTTTTCAAGCCTCAGTTTGATTCATAGGCTTTTCTGGATTTTATGGATATTTTTGCTGTATAGTTTGGACATTTTGTAAGAAAAACAGAAGACCCCTCCTCTCATTAGAATTTGTTGAAATCAACTTTATTTCATCAAATGGTTCAGTGGTCAGGGTTAGGCCTTTATGTCTTGGTGTCTGTCTCTAACATGAAAAAGCAGCACCAATCCCTAAATGCACATCTGTAAATGGATAACTAATGTAACATCTTTCAAATAAAAAGATATTCATAAGCATTGCATTTTTGTAGCTTAATCTGTTGTTGCCCATGATTTATGGTATTCATGGAATTTCTGACTTGGAAAAATGTTACTGCTAACAAATATTTTGCAGCTATATTTGGATGCAGACTTAGATTAGGCATACATGACCAAGGCTCTTCTGGGACTTTTGGATAGCAAGGCCTTGGGCATGTGATGTGTGTTGTCAGCTGTCAGTGAAACAGACCCCTACTCTGTTGCTGGTCTCAGAACTTGTCACCTGTATCTGATGGTGGAGATACTTTTAGCTACAAGGGGTGGTGCCACACTGAATACAAAGCCTTAGTCAGATTCTTGGGAAAGTAGAACTGGACAAGGAGTAATCTCTATATTTCAGAGATGTTTCTATTCAGATTCATTTAGCAATGATTGAAGGTAGCTGGCAATGGGCCAAGAAAAATATGGTGGGGAAGGACATAAGAGGAGGAAATGTCAGTATCATGGATATTTGGCAAACTAAACTAGGAGAATTTTTCTACAAAGTTTTCTGCCAGGTCCAGAAATCACAATTTAATACCACAAATCTTTTCCTACAGTGGGTTGGAGAATGTGGGTATCCTCTGATTCTAAGGTTCTGATGCTTTCTAGCAAGCCCGCAACTCCAGTGGACCTGTAACGTACATGAGGGTCTAGTATCTGTGTTTATATGTCTGACGTGTTTGTGTGTGCGTGGGGTAGGGGGAGTAGGGTTGTTATAAGGCAGGGTCCTTAAATGCTTTGTTGCATTATGTTAATTCCTCGGCAGTGCAATCAAATTCATGTCGTAATTAAAGCTGTCAGTTGGAAGGCAAGCCAATCACCATGAAAACACAGCATAACAAATGAAGTGAAATGATTCTGCGTGTAGCTATACAATGCTTCGCCAGGCATGAAATTAAATAAGTAATTTGATGTTGACATCAGAAATTGAAATGATACCCACTGTTCCCTCATTCAGTCAGACCTGCATAAACAATAGCCAGAACAAATATGCACAACAAAGCCCTCTCCTCCACCCAGCTCCCTGAGTAATGTACAATATATATGCAAAATGAGTATAACAGAGCTTTCTGAGACCTGAAGTATGTAATTTTCTTTGGTATACAATAAGATGATATGTGTGTGGGGGGGCGGGGGGGAGGAGTGGGTTTGGAGGGGTACTTCTGGGATAAAATATTTGCAGGAAGAAAAAAACCCCTGAAATAAACAAATTCCGAGTTTTCTTTGAGTAATTCATCCTAAGATGATTTAACCTCCCAGGGGCATGACTCCAGGCTGGTGGAGACCTAACCTGGTTTTTGCTTTCCTCTGCTCCATGGAGGGCTCTGGGTGCTGAAAGCAGGTGATGCTGTCACATGGCTAATCACTGCTGGAGAAGCCGTCTCCATGACTACTGTGGATCTCCCTATGTACCATTTATGGGATCAAGAATGCAGCAGGATTTTTTTAAAGCAAGGCCAGTGTGCAAGATCACACATCCGCCATCTGTGATTCCCCTGAGCTTGTCTGAAACATGGAGGTGAAGAAAGTTTGGCTTTGGGAGCTGCACTTAGGAATGCCCTGGAGCATATTAACTTTGTTTGATACTAATGCTGTTTGTACTGACAGTACTGTATTTCCTTCTCAGAAACAGTTTAAGATTAAGAAGAAACACATCTGTATTTTTGCAGATACTGAATTCATCATTTCCCCCCACATACAGTACATTCATTTATACGTACATCAGTTCAACAGATACTTTTAAAAAATGCATCGGCATTGTGCTAAGCTCTGGGGAAGCAATTATGAGTAAACCAGATGATTCCTGCTACCTATAGTTTGCAGAGCAGGCACAGGACAATTAGGTGGAGGAACTACAGGTGAATTGAGCAACTGATACATCAGAGTGGAAGTCAGGTCACTCCTGGGAAGGCATAACACCCCACCCAAACTAGTCAGGGAGAAGGCCTTGCTTCTGCAAGGACCCTTAGCTGAGATTTGAAGACTATCTAAGCATTAGCATTCTTTTTGTTTCAAGCTTACTTGGGACCTCTGTTGTTCAAATAGAAGATACTAAAAAGTAAAGAAATTTTTTTGGTATTAATCCTCACCCTAGGATATTTTTTCCATTGATTTTTTTTTAGAGATCGATGTGAGAGAGACACATGGATTGATTACCTCCTGCATGCACCCCAGGGACCGGGGATCTAACCTGCAACCGAGGTACCTGCCCTTGACCTGGAATCCAGCCTCGGACCCTTAGGTGCTAGGGCTGATGCTCTAACCACTGAGCACACCTGCCAGGAGAAAATTAAAGAATTTGTACTGAGATTTTTTTGGGGGGCGGGGGGGGGCGGGGCGAGAAACAAACATACAAGAAAGAATCACAGGCAAGTCTAAAACACAAACCAAGTTCTTTGTATGGTCTCCTTCCCCAAAGCAGTGATGCCCTTACATACCTTTTAGAATTATTGTTCTTTAGTTTCCATGTGTCAGACTATGAGAGCCTAAAACCTTGAGAAAAATGGTGCATTTTACTGCTTTCCTTTACCCACACATTCTTTGCATTTTAGTCTACTAATTATGTTTACAAAATGTCTCATTTTTGAAAAGCTCTCTGTGTGTACTAACTGGTGCCTTCAGGGAATAAACTGGCAAGTAGGTCATACGCTGGAAAAGTCATCCAGACCCGCTGGGCTTTTTATTTTCAAGTCAGTCTGGGCTTTTTCCTCTTGCCTGCCCCTTTGCGGCCACAAAACTGAGTAGCTTGAGACCAGGGCATTGAATGTCAGCAAGTCAGGGAGGCAGGCTGATGTGTGTCTGTTTAGTCTCAGTGCAGGGCGAAATGCCATCATTAATTCATTACCCAGCTGCCTGTCAAATAAATTGGCAATTACGTCCACCGCAGAAGCTTGGAATTCAGTAAATAGCACGTTAGCATCTCTGAGTTGTTGAGAGATGTAAAGGGGAAAATTAAGCAACACGGTGTTTGTATCAGGAGCAGATGACAAGGGGCAGCATACACTGGTGGTGTGATGTAGTGATGAAAAGCCTGCAAAGGGCTGGTAATGAGCTGTGTGGATTGGAACGTGTTAAAAACCATTGCTGATTTTCCACTTTGTCTCTATGCTTTATTGCAGAGTTCAGCTCCTTCCAGTTTGGGAACAGGCTACTTCGTAAGTGTATCTCAACTTCCACACGTGTGCTTTGCCTTGGCATTGATTTACTTCCGCAATGTATGCTCATTAGGATGTGAAAAAGATCTAAGAAATCCCCTCTCAGTCCTAAAGAGCAGACTGATATGCATCCTTTTATTAAGAATTGTTTTATTTTTAAAATAAGTGACTTGCTGGGCCCTAGGGGTCATCGGTCAGTCTGAGCTGTCTGTCTGGTTCCCAGCGTGTGGGACGTTTGCCTTTTACCTGGCAGCTAAGGGGAAACAGGGAAAGCTGACTGGCTCATGCCACCTCTCCCACATGATTGTTTTTTAGCGACAAGTGTCCAATGGAGAATGGAATTTATATTATGTACTGAGGTTTTCAATTTCAAAATCTCTTGAAAAACTTAACCACACATACAATGAATCACCTTTAAAAAAAATTTTTTTTTATGAGAGGTGGTGTTTTAATGGATATATTACCTCACAGTCTAAGTAGGTGGCCTTTAGATTTCCTTTCAGCAATCATTACACTTCTCATTTTAGCAAATGTAGCTATATTATTTTATTTCTAGACTTTCCTCCAGTTGGGCATGGTGACATAACCCAGGTATTGTCATAATATTTCTCATAAGTGGTCACTGCGTTTCATTTATTAATAGCAAAATTATCCTTTTTGGATTCAATAATCCTTTTTAAATGTAAATAGAAAAGAATTACAAATAAGTATTATTTACACAACTGGATAGCCTGCCAGTGTAGAGGTTTGTTGTGGTGTTTAAAGGAATCTGATTTGCGATCTGAATGACGAACACTGATACTCTAATGCCAGCTCAGCATTTTCTGAGAAAATAATGGAATCATGAAAATAAAATAAAGTGGAAAATAATTATTGATTCTGTTTAGTTACCTTTACATTTCTTCCCTATAAAATGCTAATTACTTCCCTATAAAATGCTAATTCTTTGCCCAGGCATTTTTCACCATACATTCACATAAAGTACACGAAAGCCAACATCCTATCATTGAAAATAACTCTTTTTCAAGCTTGGCAGAAGTAATATTTTCTAAATGTTGATTTTTTGGTATTAATCTATAGTAGCAGAAAAAGGATAAAGATTTTTTGGTACCTGCTTAATACAGTGCACACACTTGCCCTTGTTCCTTATTGTGACTGAATATTCATGCTTGCAGAGAGGAACAGGATGCTTCAATAGTGGAAATAACAGAAGTAATACCATCTGCCATCTCTTCACACCAGGCTGGATGTGGGTTGAGATGCTCCAAGTAAAATCTGGAGACTGCCAATATCTGTTCTCTTTCCAAAAGCTAAATTCTCCCTCTGTGCTTTCTTCAGCAGATCAAGTCCAAAGCCACTAACCTAGCCCTTGATAACTTCTAGACTGAATTTCTATATTAAACTTTTATCAGTATGATCATCCTGAAAGAAGAAAGGCATCTCTAGAAAAATCAATAATTTTATGATGCTTTTTTGTCACTTTTTTCTCTCTGATTCTAGAAATGTTTATTTTTATTTGCTAACAATAAGAGTAAAGAATCTGCACTTATAAATCTAAAATAGTTTTTACACTTACACAATGTTGGATGAGTATAGAAGTTTTTCCTTATTTTGGTAAAATTGTTCTTAGTATTACTTTTATAAAAAATTTTGTAGCAATATTAACTTACATGGAGAAGATACATACCAGATGTATGTTCAGTTCTTTACCGTGGCAAAAATGCTCTATTTAGAATGTGTTTCCAATAGTGGGATTATTATGTTATCAGAGTGCAAAATCCATTGATATTATTGCCAAGTCCTCATCAAAAAATGTCTTCTGTTTCAGTTTTGATTCCAACACAATCACATGCACTACTTAATTTCAAGTACTAACTTAAACATTGCTGAGTTTCACATTTCTAAGTGGAAATAGTATATTCACAACTTATGGTAGTTTAGTGCCAACATATTCTTTGCACTGTGCTTTTTGATCTTTATATCGTAATAGTCTTTACTTATGTCTGTATGAAGGCTCAGTATCTGGTAAGTAAAATAGTGATATTTTACTGTATCCTTAATCCTCTTCAGCATATTTTTGAACTGTGAAGGAGGCAGATCACCTGCAGAGTCAATGATCTATTAATGCAATTAAACCATAATGTGAATTCTGGTATAAGAAAATTCAAGGACTCACCTATTGGGTTTAACAACCTGGGAACTGTTTTCTTAAATACTCTCCCCTCCCCCAACATTACTCTAACTTCAGAATCTTCTTTTGTTTAGATTTTTATGCTCCTATAGGGCTTTTGGTGAACTGAAGTAAAATGCTGATTATTGTGTGTGCTAATAAAATAGACACCCACCTTAGTATATGCACGTGCACGTGTATGTACACACACACACACACACACACACACCCCTAATCCACAGCCAGTATATTCCACTTTCAGTTCTTTTCATTTATCAGTAGTGATAAGTTAAAGGGTTTAAAGAAGAATCCTTTGGTTTTGACTTAGTTGTATTTGTTTATATCTCCTTGGTTTTGTGTTCCAAAGATGTCTTCTTAGGTCTGTCACTTTTCCAATCCATTTATAATCTGAAGATTTGAGAAATGAGAACAGCAGCTGAAAGCAGTATTTACATAAGCATATTGCAAAGAATTCTTAAAGTAGACAAAATAGAGAAGTATTGGAACAAACTTTTCACATTTTTGGGAGCTTTTGAATAATGTGGGTGTTATACACACAGACACACAGAGACACATATTCATTACATACTCAGACACCGCTCATATTCTAAATATAAATGGAAGTATAGTTGGAATCTATTTGCTTTTCTTTTTGGCAAGAATACCAAAACTTGTTGGAGTGTGTAGGCTTTTTCTGTTTTCAAAAATCTTAATGCAGTGAGTGAACACTTTTTTTTTCCATTTAAATGTTTAAGGCTGTATTCTCTTCTTTTACATCTATTTGAAATTTTATTATGCATAGTTTATAATCAACTTAAAATGATCTGAAAACTAGTGGTATCACCTTTGGCAGAGTATTCAATATCTGAGACTATATCATCATCTGTACCTACCTAATAGAGTTGTGAATATTAAATGACATAAGATATTTAATGTAAATAGAACTGCACTGAATAATAGCAAATAATATTATGTTGTCTCTTGTTATTCCCACAGTAGTATGAGATGGAAAAAAACTTGGTCTCATTAAGTGGCTTGCAATGTGGTAATAGAGAATTTACCATCAGAAATTAATGATACAAAAGTAAGCTTTGTAATTTGTCACTGTAGGGTGGGAATATTTTATTCTTGTTATTATCTTCTTGTACCTTTCATAGGAGCCTAGTAGTCTATGTTCACTCAGCTGTATACCTAGTTGCTCTGTGTGTAAATTTAAAACAAATATGGAATTCCCTCTCTGCGATTCTCTATGATCATGATGATGCTGGAATGAACTTTTCTATAGGCTGTATCATATAATGAAACCATAGAAGATCAATTTGTCTATTAAAGTTATTTGTTTATTTTCTCCCTCAAATCTGTGGCATTTAAAGATGGCTACTAGATCTTAGGGTTGGGCTGTGAGGTTAATTAAGAAAGACCTGTTCACCATCTTCAAGTTTTATGAGGTTGTGTCACATGTTCGCTGCTGTCAGACACCAAAAAGAAAAGGGGATGCTCTATTAGCCTGAGTGAAGTAACTGAAGGCAGCAGAGTGAAAAGACCAGTGAACACATCTCCTGGCTGCCAGGGGTCTGCTGTGCCATTCCATAGAAAGTTCTGGACTGATGGTCTGCAAGCACTTGACTCCCGATGCCAGTTGGGATCTCCTGTTGGTGTATGGGTGAGTGAATTGTCAGGCTGACCTTGAACCCTAGTGTAAAGGAGAATCCTTCCTTTATTTGGGTGATGTTCCCTGCCTGCTTCTCAGGATAATTTTCAGCCTTCTTCTAGGTTTGAATCTAAGTGTCTTAGGCCCATACACTCAAATCACTTGGATCCTGCTTTTGTAAACTGCAGTGATCCAGAGAGTTTTCTTAATGGTTTTCAACTAATAATTTTCATCCCTAATTGAGTCCCATCTAGTAATGTACATACTTTAAAATTATCAAGGAAACTAACCGACTTCAACCTAGTGAATAAACCTGCCACATCCTGATATATATAAAGAGCTAGGTGCCCTCATGACCGAACGGGTGACCCGTCACCATGAAGTGCATGGAGCACCTCTGGGTCCCCTCCCTCCCATGGCCCCGAAGCGGCTCACCATGAGGGGGGCTGGTGGGGCGGGACTGGGGACTGTTGAGCGGTGGTGGTGGGCTGCCTCTGCAGGAGACCAGAGGGGGGCTGGTGGGGCGGGACTGGGGACTGTTGAGCAGTGGTGGAGGGCTGCGTCTCGGGGTGGCCATGAGCTTAGCGGAGCAGTTACCTGGGTGGCAGCGAGTTTCGTGAAGCAGTTGCGGGGTGGGGGGAGCCTCACAGAGCAGTGGCGGGGCGGGGGGAGTTTCACGGAGGTGGGGGGAGCCTTGCAGAGCAGTCGCGGGATTCACAGAGCAGTAAAGGGGCCACAAGCATCGCGGAGCATCCTGGGGTGCGGAGCTTCACATAGCATCGCAGGGCAGCAGAGGCCATGTGACAGAGGCCAGGCTAGGCCTAGGGATCCTAACCACACAAGATTTCGTGGGCGCTGGGCCTCTAGTTATATAATAAAGGGGATTTGTGTAGTGGCACACATCTTTAAATGGGACTTGTATAATTACTGTTTTCAAGTGCAGTTAAATAACTTAAGAAGTTGTATTGATAGCATTGCTAACAGGTAGTAGGTGCCAAATACTGACCTCTGGCTTTCCATCCATACTTACAGGGTTATCAAGGGCTTCAATTCTTTGCCCTGATCGACGATTTTTACTATAGACCAGTGGTTCTCAACCTTCCCAATGCCGTGACCCTTTAATACAGTTCCTCATGTTGTGGTGACCCCCAACCATAAAATTATTTTCGTTGCTACTTC